AGATTTGCATTGAACCGAGCTGGTATTAGTACCATGCTTAACTAAATGTCAAGACATATTTGTAGTCGATCCGGACTAGGACCATTGTAGCATGTATTATCCAAGCAAAATATTTGCATAAAGTCGGTGCAGAATTATTATAATTTGGAGAAAAATATGGATGCTCAATGGACACCGCTGGAATTGGTCCAATAGCTGTTTCAGATAAGTTGATGCAGATACAACAGATATATTATCGTTGTATAATTGAAGTATCGAGAACCGGAAAGGGTTCTCCAAACGTTTATAAATAGTAATAGAATATTTGTTAATTTAACCTCTTTTGTGTACTTATTTGCTTTATGATTTTTCATCAAAACCCAAAAACGTCAACGATTGCATTAAAAATATTCATTTCATTGTTCTCTCGAGTCAAAAGAAATTAATTTAAAAAAAAATCACTTGCACTTCAACTACAAAATCTTTTTAGTTATTCCAGGAAGCTAAAAATATATACAAACAAATTTTTATTGCTCGAGTTAAAAAAAAGTTTTGAATAAATAATAGCCAACGGCAGAGTATAGAAATAAACATCGAAATGCTTTCAATTATTATTATTATTTCATAACCGACAAATTACATTTCCGACACAGTCAAAAAAGTAAATAATATATTATCCATTACTGAACGCATATAATATGGCTTTTATCCAGCGGTAAGTATATTATACTTTTTAACTATAACGACTCCGTGTACGATTCTGGCGCACACGAAGGCTTCATGTCTTATTCAAGTAGCGACGACGACAACAACAAAGAGTATACTTAATCCGGTACGCATAGTTGATCGTTTAAATTCGAACGGATTTGTAATTATTCCGTTTTCATTTGTCCCATTTAAACGTCAAACGCCATTTGCCCGTGGTCAGTCTGTTATGATTATCCATTTTTGACGGAAAAATTGGCCGGTACCCAAATGGCCTTAATCAACATTTTCAAATTAAAATTGTAGAAACTTGCCGATTCGCTTAGGTCCATACATGGTGCCAGGCTGCCGATTTAATTTAGGCTGACAGTATCGGATAAACCTAATAATACGATGGTCACGCGCGTGTCGTGAACCTTAATTAAACGGCCGTTCTATAACAATAGTATATTATATATTAACAATAATAGGTGTGCATTATTAATTGAAACGGACGGGGCACAGATGATCCTGGCTCTCGCCGGGTCCTATTTAATATAATATTATGGAATTATATTAAACCGTATCGCAAGACGGTTTGTAGGTTAGGAATTAGTTAAGCTTCCATAGTGTTGTCCACACACGTCGTGACCGACCAAACACCAAACAGTGCAAGGCGAAAACTTAACATATACCGCATTTTTCTCAAGTAAAATATATGTATAATTAATAAAGTAGACTGACTAAACAAAAAATTGTTTTTGCTTCCCTCCTGAATCGTTTTGATTTGTAAAAAAGAAGATTTTTTTTTTTAATTTCTGCCTTATAGGACAACTCTAAGTGGTTCCTATAGAGCCATATTTTCCCTATTTGATTAATACTTAAAAAATAATTTTTTCATTAAAACCGTCGACTTAAAACTTGTAAAAAAAATTTAATTAAAAATAAAACTTAAAGCTGTCATTTGTATCTAAAATATAACACACTCTCATATATATATATATACCTATATATATTATATGTTTGACTGGAATAATTATGTGACTCATTTATTGTGTAAAATTATCGACACGTGTTATTGTATATTGACAGCACTTTTGACAATATATATACATGTGTGTGTGTATATATTATATTATAGTGTAGGAAAATAGAACGTCGATTGTCGACACCAACAGGTAGAACGGATTTAATGTGGTTAACGCTTTATGAACGCGTTGCAGTGACTTTCGACCTAACTAAAATCCCAGTCGGTGGTAAATCGAAGCCCCCACTCGGTCCTGGTGCTATACTAAACGGGTCGGCCTTTAAACACAGAGGGATTTCAATATATATATATTAATATGACGCATAACAAGAGCCACGGTTCATAAACAGAACGAAATAACCGGATTGAATAATTTATTATTCTATAATACATATACAACATTTAACAATTGTAAACTGATTTGGCAATCTGCGAAATAAACGATTATTTTACCACGTTCTTTTATTTTGTTTCGATTTAGTTTTGCAGCTATCAAATAGTTCGTCGATACAAACGAATACTCTTAATAATAATTTAAAAAAATGCTTCTCAAAACGCTCGATTAATGTTTTATCGCTCTACAGACCGGCATAAAAAACCTAAGAATGACGCACACTATAATTCTATTATGTTACCATTCAACGGAAATGTTTATATTACTGTGTTTTCCAAAATTTTCCTCGCCCAAACTTTTTAACGCGTTTATCCCATCAAAATATAATAATAATAATAATAATATGCATTAAATTGAAAACTAATTAAAAGTTATCCTTTTCGCAGGATTTCAGAATCAAATTATATACCTGTGCGTACGATTTGTCGATGTGTCGCACCACATACAACATAATTAAATGCAAAGATCATGAGTTGACTTAGATTATTGTTATAGCTACCCCATTATAATTGGCAATTTAATGCCTTGTGGGGAAACACCAGTACAATTGTTGACTTTTTGAAAGTTATAGAACTCACCGAAACACAATATTCGAACCATCGACTAACGAATAATTATCGAATCAAATTCGTCTACCAAACCCAATTCCCAAAATCATACTATACGGTAAATTTCTGCAATATATCGAAAAAAATATTGCCTAAATTAAATATAACAGAATTGAATGTAAAAGAGTTAAAACCTATAACAGGCTACAGCCAATTTCGGAATATTGACATTACCAGGGTTCAAAGCTTTTTTATAACGATGAAATGTGCTCTAATAACATCTATTCAGAGCACTTTAAAATGTAATTTAGATTTAAAAACCAATTACGGGACATACATTATTTAAAAACACCCTATCCGTCAATAAAAAAAAAATGGTACTATGAACGAAAAATAAATTAAACTTTAAGCATTAGGGAACCTCAGGGCCGTACTTTATAGCACAATGGATTTAAATTGTAAAACAAAAAAAAAACAACATGAATCCATACCTGAAAAAGTATTACTCAAATTCCCTTTAGGTCTTTTTTAAGATTTCAAATGTTATCGTGAACATAGATCGTAAATAGTATTTTCAATAAAATATAAAAGTTATAAACGCAAATGTTATTTCCCTTAACTGACGTCAATTCCAACCTATAGAAGACTTTCTACAATACTAAGTAATATTGTTGCCATCGAAAGAAGTTTTATTTAAAAAGCTAAAATTTACCAAAAAATAAATAAATCATGTTTAACATTACACGCCTGATAATAGACCCTTCTCGCATTACTAGCATTTCTAAAAATATCATTAAAAACACTATTTTAAAAGCAATTCCAATTTAAAATTATTATCAAAACGAGGACTGTCCTGCTATAAACTCTTATTGTGCTGACTTCTCTAATATTTACACCGTTTAGGCTCTACGGGCAACAGTGAATATTATAACTTTACACTTTTTTAGCTCTTTAAAAAAATATACATTATGTTAAACAATGCGTGCAAATTAAATTCTTTTGAATATACCTACCTTATAAATACACAAAGTCGGTTAATGGAAAGTCCTTTGAATAAAAACAACATAATATTATTATGAAATACGAAATCATGTACAATACTCGTACAGACAAAAGAAATTCTCCGAAACTGTACATTTGCTGCGCCATGCTTAAAGAGAGGGATAGAGAAAAAGAGACGCCCCGCATTTAGTATTTACTATAGCGACCATTTGGCAATTCTCTGAGACTTGGTTTTCAATAAGCAGCTGTTTGTTGACAATAAATGAACATTAGGCGCCATATCCCGGGCCTTAGTGTAGTTTTAATCCTTCGGCTAAACAAACACTGTATTTGGCCGTTCGAGGGGAATAACTATTGAGTTAACAAAATGTTATAATAACATAGTTTGTTGGCACATAGCGTTACGACTTGCAAACCCAAAACAAATCCTTTTAAACATTAGATTAGGTGCGCATTGAGTTTCTCTGCGCGGTGTACGGCCACAGTGTAAATATTTAAATGTATTATTATAAGCTCCGTTGCTTATTTCCACACCACAATAAGCCAAGACGATTTATTATTTATAGCCGACCGGGGGGTATAACTTTCTACTAATTTCAATTAAACCAAAAACAATACAATTTACCGTGCCCCGGCGGTATTTGCTTGGCCCAAAACTTGGAAAACTCGCGAGCTTCTTAAGTCCACCTGTGGTTACGGCTTTAGCACATGTACACCGGCTGACTTTAAACACATGCACCTGTGTATTATACACTGCGTTTACATGTATAATATTAAATGCAATTATTATTTATATGGGTGGGCGAATAAACGACAATAAAGCACTCAAATGAATATATTCAAGTTTATATAAGTCAATACGTACGCTCGGTTCGGTGCAATAAGTCATACCGCGCCAGCCCGTGTCCCTCGGTTGGCCACATGTTTGAACGGCGCGACCAATAGGCAATACATGATACACACACGTATACGGTCCTCGGTAATTGTCGCAGAATAATTGTATAAAAAAAATATACTTATTAGAAAAATACTAGCACTAAAATTATGCGAATAATGGTACTACTGCTAAATAGTAAATATTCTTTTTTAACCGTTTTCCGGGTAATAACCAACGTGTAATAACGAAATTTATTATGTACTTTTTGTGTTTGTGGGTGAAAATATTTACGAGTGTTAATATTTTTTTTATTGACCCTATATTTTCAATGGGGGACGTCGGGATCGTTGGGAACGCGACGGAAATTTAAAAAAAAAATATTTAAAATTAGAATTTTTTTTACATGTTTTTTTTTTTATGTTTACACCCAATAATATACAGTTATTACATCTGAGGTGCATGAATAACGTGTAAAATTGTTTTTTACAGCATGTACACCAGGCACAGTATGGCGAAAACTTCGGCGGCGTGTGGCTTGTTGGCAATCGTAATACTCGTGTGCACCATTTCGACTACCAGTTCGGCGCCCTATCCGATGTCACAAGGGTAACGTTAAAACACAAAAAAATAACTATAAACAACAGTAATAATAGTATAAAAAAAAAAAAAAAATACAGCTCGTAATTAAAACGTGTAGTACACACAAATACAGCGACGCGCAAGTATAGGTAAAGATACTAGAGTACATACAAATCATCTCTTAAAAAAAAAAAACGAAATAAATATATTTTAGAATTACAAATTAATAAATTAAACGAGAAATGTTTTTATCGTTTCAATTTAAATTTGATAGTTTTTTTAAAAAATGCTTATTAACTTTTAATGTTAATTGTTTCATAGGCTGAATGAAAGTTCCAATACATTTAAATACTATATAAATTAAAAAGATTTTTAATATTTACAATACAAAAACTATAATATAATTTATTATTAATATTAAAAACAGGAAACGGTTATCAGGAAAAACACGATATTTAAAAAAAAAAAATACTGACAGTGTTATATATATATACATATCATAAAAAATTGTTACATATATTATAGATATGTTGTGTTGGACACGTTTTACGATTAATTTGTTTTTTTTTTTTTATATCTTGTTGCTAAGTCGTTACCTCCCTAAAAATGTACTGCCAGACTGTCGCCGACACACGAATACACGGCGCGGCTATTATGGTGCATCGTCGTTGTAAAACAAGTACTTGAAAAACAAACGTAATATAAGTTTGCTCACTCGACACGGTCTATGTACTAAATAATACGTATATCATAGCATATTCTACTTATTCGATGTTACTACATACGCTGAAAGTCGGAAGTAGGCAAAAATCCACCGAAAACCGGATAATGCGCCCACGACGGAGAACTTTGCAAGCGTTCAAGCTTAACGGATTTTCCGCCTTTTGTTCACAAACTTTCGCATCGATAACTGTAGTTATTAATCGGGTTAAGTTTGATCGCGTAATTGGTAAAACGATGTTGACTTTGCAAGTACAAAACAACAACCTGTAAACATCACACGATTTATTCAGAAAACACGCACCTAATAATCACTAACGACTTGGGTCGAAAACTGCCAAACTCTTCGAATAATCAAATAGGTAATAAGAAATGATCACTCGAGTGTTCCGATACGCGCTTAAGTGTCAAACGCAATTACTTATTTTCCAAAATGCATGTTACATTACACGACTTATACAGTTCATCAAGTACACGTCGTGATGAACAGTGTTGGGCAAATTTTCAATTAACTAATAATCTGATTAAAATCCAAAAATTAATATAAGTGATGCGTAAATTAAAATTGATTAAGGCGATTGCATTCGGTCAGTTTTTTGACGTTTTAGACCAAAAAAGCCAGACAAAATTACAAGTACTTAGGATTGTCCGATTTCAATTCTGTTCTTTGACAACATTTTTTGCTTTTTTTATGTAAAAAAATTGAGGTTTAATACTGAAAAAATGTATTTAATTACAAGAAACTGAAAATTTTAAATGAAATTTGGCTACCTACAGTACATAGTGAAGTAGTCAAAGATCTCGAATCTCTTTACAGAATTGCAATTTGACCATCCTATGTAGACGAAATTTTGTCTGGCTTTTTGGTCTAACATAAACCAAAATGGCTTTTACTCATAGAAAAAAATTATATAAATTAAAAATAATACCTCGAAGCTTATACAAATTAACCGGTAAATTTATTGAAATGGTCAAAATGTATTAAAATCATTTTTTTTCTTAAATATTGCCTATACAAAACTCCTTAAAAATAGACCGCATGCAATCCCCCCTTAATGGATCTTTAATTGATTCAACGATTAAAATAGTTACGTTTGAAGAACACATGATTATATATTTAATACACTGATTTAAAAAGCAATAATACATTTAAAATGTTGCAACTGGCAAATTAGCCACTACATACTAAATGTTAATTTTTCAACTAGCGATTGAAACCTAATCCTGGTTATAAGTGGTTTAAGATAATATTGATTAACATTTTGAATCTGTTGCGCTATGAATAACATGGCATTTTAGACCTCCGACCAGCACAGAGGAAATATTAGTTAGCCGTTTAATAGTTAAAATGCTCAGTCATATTTGACTTAGACCCAGCAAAAACACTCCTTCTATTTTGTTGGCTCAAAGAAATGCGATAAACAACTACTGTCGTTCGCAGTATTATTATAACTAGGCTTGCGATTTTATCCTGAAAATACGGTTGACAAAACATGTTTTTTAATGACTTCAAAACGATAATAATAATACCACCGTGGAATGATTCCAAGACAACGTGCGAGCTACGGTGCATCGTTCCAAAATTAAAATGTCGAGGCAGAGTTTAATAATTATTTTACGTCTGTTATTTTCTAATCTCTAATGCGGAAATCTACACAAATATTATTAACTTGCGCACAAATTAAATCTACTCCCAAAAGTTTATGCCGGACGGTCATATTTTAATCAGAAATCGTACTCGTGGGATGCTTTATAAGGCCAAAAGTTGTAAAATTTCAACCTTTTTAAAATCGACCAAAAATGTACACATATTTCAACTTGAAATTACAGCTTGTCATTACTTTGAAAGAAGTCGATTTAGTTTATGGCGTATTATTTGAGTATAGATCACCGTGAAAAACGGGATGGCAATTATTTTCTTTATTTCTTTTAATGTTACTTTGGGCTTAAGATTTGAAAATTTGACTGGATATAGATCACACAAATAGATACAATTTTTTTAAAATCGTGTCATTTAACTTCTTATTAAAGAAACACTAAAACCCCATATTTTATTTTCTATCAAATAATTTGTATTTATATTTAATAGCTTTAATTACCATACACAGATTTGCTTGGAATCGTTTATTTAAAATTAATTTTTTTCATTTCCAGTTTAAATGATTTCTGATCATTTTTGACCATACACCGACCCCGCCGTAATGGATTTTTTTTTGCTACTAGCAAACTTATATTGTATGTAAAATCCTATATTTGCCTCGGGGCCATTCACTCGCGACTGAAAAACAATATGTTTCCTGTTAATTGCACACGGTTTCGTTGTTCGGTGGAATCAATACGCCTGTGTTTTGGGCTTTGGTCCCTGGGGTGCCGTACATATGTGCTGGAGGGAGGGGGAACTGTTAGACGTCGATTATTACCTCTCGTTTAAACGAGCGTGCGGCAAATAAACACTGACAATCCCATGGGGACTTAACGCAGGAGTGGTCAACATATAATATAATAGTATATTGTCTACGGGTCACATGTGTATTGGAAATGTATGCAGGCTTGCCTACGCCGCACTGCTATAGCGTCAATTGCGCGACTCCTGTTTTAGCCAATGTCACGTGATAAGCGCCAAAATCACAAAAAAATTCGCCGTATCACAAAAATAATTAGCCCCTCTGACGGGCGTGATGGGAGATTTGCGCACGATCTTCAGCACACGTGAGATGACGGACGATATAAATGATTAAGGTTTAAACCACGGTCTTTCCCTCTGATCTCTCCCACTCTCGTCCCCGATTTAGTATATAATATGTGGGCAGCGCCCAAAATAAATAATAACCAGAGTTCCGCTATTTAATAATTGGCGTCGCGGTATGTTTCAACGAAACAAAAACCTTTAGATTTATACAACCAAAGATTTTTGGCTCAAAATACAAAAATAATACACCACCCTTATAACACAACAAGTTTCTAATCCGTTTTCCCGGTATTGTGTTATTCCTTCGACAGGCCTTGCTGTTCTGTTCTTTTATTTTATTTTTTCCGTTGTCCTCGATTTTAAGGTTAGTTATAGTTGCGACCACCCTCTTTAGCTACACTTCACACTTTTCATCCTTAAGTTTTTTTAATTTTATAATACAAAATTATCAAGAATTCAAGAAAGTATGTAAAAAAGCGAAAGGCAAATACGAAATAACAGCTGCGATAGGCATAATATCTATTCCTTTAAATTGGTCATATGAATAATTAAATGGAGTAAAAAAAATGTAAAATATAAATTTACGTAATTACTTGTTGCAACGTTATTTATTCATTTAGTTGAAATCTTATTTCAAAACCTTTCCCATATTCCTACCTATCTTTAAGATAATTTATACACCTACATGTATATACTTATTTTTTCTCTTCTACAATTTTTAATATATTACTCTACCTATAGTTAAATTTATATGTAAATTAATATATGTACATGTAAATTGGTTTATTCTGTAAATAAAAATATCATTAATATTATTTGATTTTTTTTTTTCTGTAATACAACTGGTAAGTTTTTTTTTATAAAAATTTAAAAATAAATGAATATTGTATATTAACAAAAATTATCCCGAAGTCTTGAAAAAGTTACCACTTAATTAAATTCATCAATTACTTTTTCTTGATCTCTTCTTTAAAATTACCGTACAATATTTTTGTACATTCAGGGTCAGTAACCTAAGCGCGCTGTGAAATAAGAAATAATTTCTTTTATCTCTCTTTACCTCTCTTTCTAAATGTAGGTATATATAAACTTGTTGATTTTATGAATTCAAAACGAAGCCATAGGAATTAATATGATTTTTAAAGCGACATATATTTTTCATAAAAAAGTGTTACCGTTCAGTCACATTATTGTAAAAACAAATAATGTTATTTATACAGGTCTTTTATTCTCTCAAAGGTCAAACATCATCAATAAAGTTCGATCTTTCTTTATCTCAAAAATATCCATCTTTGCTCCAACGCTACATTTCGAGACTGTAAAATATGTATTATGTTTTTGTCAATTTAATTTTTTTCAAAAATCACTGTACCTACTCATTCAAATGTTATGTATTTATAGAATATTTCTATACATATTATATTATAATGTTTATAATAATAAAACATAAGTAATATATTATGATATGATTTGTTAATTTATTTTATGTTTTTTTTTCAGACAAAGTAATGCATACCTATCAGAAAACGATGGAGATCCTGAAGTTATGTTGGAATTGTTAGCGAGATTAGGCCAGAGCATTATGAGAGCAAACGATTTGGAAAAGTAAGGCGAATACAATAGCTAAATCACTAGCACCAGCAGCTGATAATAATAATTTATAATTATTCGCTATCATATAACAGGGTGATTCATTAAGGATCACTCGGTCATTTTTTTCTCTAAGTGCAATTCTGTAGTTTTTCAATTTGGAGACACTTGGTTTATGTTTTTTTCTGATATTAGACAATATTTAATTTTTTATCTGTTTTATTTTTTTCCAGAGTTTTATCACTTTTTTAAACTTAAATGGTAACGTATATATAAATATATATTAAATTAACATTTTAAATTTAGAATAATTTGGTGAATGTGTTGACTGGTCGATAACCAATTTATATAATTACTTTTAAAGTTATTATAAAGTTTCAAATTTAAGACGGGGGATGGAGTGTGGTAGATTAATACGTGCAGATAAAAATAGTACTACACTCCGCCCTACCTTCCGTCCTAAATTTTAAACTTCAATAACTTTAAAAGTAACTATCCAAACCCGGTTATTGACCAGTCAACATTTCAGAAAATTATTCCTAATTTAAAAAAGTAATTAAATGCATATGTTACCAATTAAGTCTCAAAAGTTAAAAGCGCTCTGGAAAATATTAAAAAAGGTAAATAATATCTGGTAATTTTGTAATGTTTTACTAAAACATAAATAAAAAATCTTCAAAATATAATTAGTTTGAGCTTAGACGTATTAAACATACATAGATAACTCGTACACAGTTAACAAGAAAAGTATGGTAAATATATTATGGTGAGCTATAAAATCATATCAGCTATAATATCAATTAGATACAATATCTACTATTAGTATTAAATCTAATATTTTGTTTTTACTATTACAAATTATTTACCCTAATACGCTTTATAAAATATACATGTCACTTCATTTAAGTTTGAGTCGTAGATATGGAATTTAATTTGCTTTGAAGTTGCTAATACTTAACTATTTAGTAGGTAATTTACTAGATAGACGATTACCGAGGATTCGTGGGTTTAGTTACTCCAAACATGCTGGAAGGCAAAAGAACAATTATAGCAAATTGCACTCCTCGGAAACGCTGCTGTCGGTATACAAAAGCAAAATTAGTTTGGATAGGTCATTAATCACTTTACACCAGTAAAGTGAGGTACTTACCTTTTAAATTGATAACGTTCTTTCATCACATTATCGCCGCGTGTTAGTTATATTACAAAATAATCATATACATCATAATTACAAATTGGAAATGGTTAATTTTTGCTAAATTCGTACATGGATATAATATTGAAATAGAAAAATGTGGTAAATCCAAAAGATATGTGGTAAAATGTTCGCGCATTGTTTTATTGCTAATATAGTTACACGCTTTGATCAAAATGATTGAAATATCTGGAATGCTAATAACAATTCGGTCTGCACAATACTGAACCCTTTTCAATGAATACAAAGATAACATTGGCGAGACATCACATATTATACATATTAAAGTAGACGAGCGTATAAGCATCAACTAAAAAATGCAATAGCCTTCGGTATGTATATTAGAAACTACGATTGTGATGGCAAGTATATTTGTAATAAACGCAATTTCACAAACAAAATAGCGTTCAGTAAAATGCAATACATGGTAAGGCTTTCAAGTTTCATCTGACTAGATTCGAGTATTTTGTAAATATCAGTCTGAACCATACCTACTGTAGTGTGATTAACTTAACAATCTGTAGAAGGCTTGAGTCTAATCATAAAAATAACTAAATTGAAGGAAAAAAAACAGTAAAATTGTAACAATAGTTCATTTAGTTTTTCAATTTTTTAGGATTTCCGTGTTAATATTTTTAAGTTATATATTTCTTGTGGTAACAAAGCATGCCAAGATAGTAAAAATGATCATATTATCTTCTGCCATCAATTATTACACCACAGAAATAGTGTTCTGCAAATCAAGCACACAATATTAACGAATAAAGAAGTACTTTTTCCGAACTAACGTTAATTAATGATTTTTTTTTTTTTAAACCAAAAAGTTACTCTTGTTACAAATCGATGATCTTTATTCAACTATTGTAATAATATCTTAAATCCTTTGAAATTATTATTATTCGATAATTATTGAACAGTTCAAAGGAAGCTTTTCCTCGGTTCTAGACTTTTCTTAGCCCTCCACTCTGTTTCCTAATTCAGCTACTTTGGATCCTACTATGCTACTGTGGGTTTTGTATGTAAAGAAAACGTTGACAAAACCTTAGGGATTTAAATGTTGTGTTAAAAGCGAATTTGAACGATATTATTCAGCCATACATATCAAGCAGTGTGCAATCGAATAACAGCGTGGTAAAACCAACTGCATCCAAACAGGCAGACACGTGTCTACCTATAACACACGACGACGGCACAATACACAAAAGATTTTAACGGGCATAACGGCCCAAAGCAGATGGCTGAAACGAACAATGCGGCGCTCCGAGTATGAGAACAAGGAGAAGACGGGACACATATCAGTGCTATTATTATAAGTATTATTTTGTAGCATTATACTCGACTGCAATAGCTATCGTGCCGAGGGCACACTTGCGCTGTGCCGGAATCGTCTGCCGGATATCTACTTTGGTTACGAGCAACTGTGTCGACCAAAATCATATTTTGAATTTTTTCAAGATGATCAAGATACGTCTCAACGGAACCGAGAAATCGTGTACCAAAATCAGATCGTATCTGACGTTTCGTTAAAGCGCACACCTATAAAATCTTTTGAAAAAAATGAATAATCCGGTCGATGACCGATTTCTGTTGGGAAGTTAAGCCCCTCGAGCTTACGAACAGAAGCAATAATATATATATTTTTTTTTTCGAGAAGAGCAGCGCACGTCGTCGAGTATGCTGTGTTGGAAACGACAAGAGAGCCCTCGGGTTGTAAAACAATACCGTACAACCATTTAGAGAAAACCGTTTTCCGTTATTCGTGCGCTATTGCAAGTCTCTAATGTTGTCATTCAACTAAATAGTTCCAGCACTATATCGTTGTCGCGGTAACCAGCAGCTCTCGTGGTTATCCAGCATGTAATATAAAATGATAGGTATTATACTAGGCATTAGACTTTCTTAGTAAAATGTGTATTCCGAAAAAAAAACTAAGGAAAACCGGGGAATTTTTCAAAAAATACGGAAACTTATTTTCAATTTATTCAGAAATGCCGCCAAAAAAATATACATTAAAATTAAATACATTATTCTTCAAATTACCTTGTTATTTATTATCTTATTCAAAATTTTCCCGACTCTGATTATATTGTCTTAAGGTTACCTATACTATATAAAATATGAGATAATCGCATAGGTCGCAGAAAATAATATAATTAAATCTTTTACAATTTTTGTTTTCAAGAGTGTAAACTTCAGATAAAATCCAATTTGTTGTTTATAAATTCAAGAATGTTAACATTAAAATTATTTCATGAAAGCTAAAATGAATATGGGTAGTTGCTCTTGGAATGTATAAATTATTTACAACGATCACCTTGTACTTGGCGAGTTTTATCATTATACAAGTCGTTCATTCTACTATATTTATCGCATGTATTATGATTTATGACTACTCACTAACATGATAATGTCATGTACTCGAATTTTGTACAAGTAAAATGTTTGACAAAATTGATTGAGCCCCGACAAATACGCCAGGCAGCATTCAAGATGTATGACACATTTATTAATAATTATAAACCATCACTCAAATTCAAAGGATTAAAGTTTTCCATACAACAAAACCATTGGATTTAATTTAAGTCGAAACGTATATACTATTACATTGATAATATTGGATAAATTGTGCACTCATAGAAAAGTGTACAGCGATTTGATATCTGGAGTACATAATAATTATAATAATATCGAATATATAATATATTATATCCTGACAGCTAACCAACGCGCAATACCATACCGACCTTATCTATACACTGCAGAGGTTCTATATTTAATACATAATAATAGGATGTATCTACTACGCGTTATTGAGCAACCCTTATACTTCAAGTTCATTTTTATCCGTGCTCGCGAATTTTAAACATTTTTTTGTTTACATTTAATTTAATTTAACAAAACCAAAAATAATAATTGAATATTTAATACGTTAATAAACACAGTAACCGGTGTTTGTCGTGCTCGGGTCGACGGTAATTTTCTTTTGTGTTCGTGCGTGTGCTATTCGATTTAAAGCCACAACGACCCTACAGTGTACTCAGTTGTATGTACACCTATAAAACGTAATGGGCAAAATTATATTTTTTTCAAAAATATACTCACTCGTGAAGTCAACATTTAAAACATTGACTCGATATAAGAAGCTTTGCCGCCGTGTCGTGTGCGTAACGCACACACGGTGTTAAGTTAGCCTAAGTACATTAATAATTCGGACTATCCAACAAGACCGTATAGACAGGGTTATATAAAAGGGTTGACCCCGCTTATCCGACGGTTTTGATGTTTAGAGTCCACCAACTGAAAGTTTCTAGTCCAATTCGATCCGATTAACCGCATATTTCACCGAGTCTTACACCCAAAACAATCGCCTGACCTGAATGACCATAAAGAGATAAACACATACAAGACCTCTAGAGACTTCCTACCGTCCTCCTTATATTATACGAAGCGTGAAACCGTGTCGAAATTGGGTACACTCGTGTACAGTAATATTATATGAGACTACTAAATGTCAAAGGCCATAAACGCGTAGGGAAATATTATAAAATATACTTCTATGTCTTTTCTAAGCGAAACGCTTATACATATATATATATATATATATAAACGTGTGGACGTGCACGTGTATTTCTCCCCTCATACATTTTTTGGTAGATAGCTAAGAAAATAAATTCCAAAAAGGTCGTCGTACACGGCGCGGCAATTACGTGTAAATAAAATAAACGCAAACCCGAAATTGGTAAAAGACGGTTGTAGTAAATTTTAAAGATTGCAGTTTTTTATAACGCCACATTATAATAGATCTTATCTAAACATTCCTTACTGTACACTTTTACATACAACATAATATTTAACATTGATTATTCATCTAGTCACCTATCGACTTTTTTTTTTTTTACATGATTAGTAAAAAAAAAAATTCACCTATCGACTGATTTAAATTTAGTCCTAATTTGTAATACTTTGTCTACGTACTTAGGTACCTATGTAGGGTATAAATAGGCTTGCCTTGAATGTAGAAGCTACGACCAGTTTAGTAGCCATATAAAATAATAATTGTATGAAAGTTATATTACACTTGTTGATAGTTGATAACATTGGTCATATGCCATAGTCAATTATTCATGTGCCGAGCTGTCAAAAACACATAACTTCACAGCTTTGCACACACACATTGATGTTGATAATTGTATTAGCTAACCAGCAGTTTTGTTATTGTAGTCCATAAGCAGATAATAAGACGAAGAATGACACGCGTGTCCGCTACAACATTCCCATATTTGTATTCAATTAGCCGACACTATACTAAATTAACATAACATTTTTTTTTTTCAAATGCCATATAATGGATTTCACTTATTTTTTTTCGCATACCTACAAGTTTTTTAACTTTCCAACAACACCTTCGACGGCCGTTAATTATATAAATAACAATATAATATGTGTCGACGCCGACAGGTATACTTGTATGATGTGTAACCAACGGCTAAGCACGGTACAAAATATTTAACACAATGCGTTTGTGTATTGCACGGTATACCTACGTCAATTCAAAAAAATTTCCTGCAATTGTTTCTACGGTAAATACACATTCAAACTCCGGCGACATTGTTTACAACAGCCTATCGCTGACCAATTCAATAATAATATATATATATAATAATACCACTATTAATATTGATCCACAATATCGTTCATTGCTTTTAGCTGTACGCCTTTACCTATGGACTATGCGGGTATATCATACACCAGTCTATCTAATATTTTATAGTTGACAAAGCCTGTAGTTATTGTAAACCTCGAACGGATGGGTCTCGTGCAATAGGATTGGAAGAACCAACGGTTAAACATTTGAAGTTACATAACAATCATAATTGGAATGTTAAAAAAATAAAGTATTCCGTATTGATACCGATTCCTACTTACTAACAGTTGTTTTACATATTTTCAATTAAGCGTAACAACATTTTATGTATGATAAAAAAATTAATATATTTATCCGACATATACGCGGATACTAATTTAATCTCCATCGGAAAACATCAGAGCTAAAAAAGTAATTAAATTTTAGTATTGAAAAAACCATTTAGATAAATTACAATACGTGACTTTGCTTTTTATAATACGTAAAAAAGTAACCAAAATTACGTTAGCCACCTAACGTAAAAATATAGAATACATTTCTTTTATGTTACCTAATTTTCAAAATATGAGTATATATTGTATTTATCCATAATATATTAGTAGACTAGTATTTTTATATGAACATTATGTAATTTAATATGTTTCCGTAAACAGTGAAATATTATTTAATCAGTCAGATTTAAAAAAAAATACCTGGGTTATTGCCAACTCGACCAAGTAATGACTTTTTTTTTAGCTTTAGAGCGTATCTGCTAAGGTGTTTTAACAATAATTTTTTTTTGTTTTTGTGTGTATCTGGACTTCCAATTTCTTCATAAGCAAGTCTATAGATCAGAAATCGTACCTCAAAGGTATTTTATTGGGCCAAAAATGTAAAAAGTTAACTCCTTCCCTTTCAAAATCGAGATAGGTACCTTGAACATTTAAATATTTTTCAATTTAAAACCACAGCTAAAATTAAAGACAGACAAACAACCATAACTTTTGTATTTCTACCATCTAGATTTGCATCGAAACATTTATTTAAAAGTGATTATATCACTTTCAGTTATAATAATTCCTGTAGACCCGTGACTCCCCTCCCTCAATCATGCTGGCTATTTTCCTTTGCTAATAATAACACACAATTAGATATTAGTAATATTATATAACAAATTAAGTATATTTTTTCAGTTGTTTAGAGTTTTATTACGTTTAAAAAAAAAGTAGTAAGATAAGTAATGAGAAGGGAGTGAATTAAGATGTTCAAGCACAGAACATTGTGTACTATTCTTATGCGCCTATTATTAAGTCTATAAAAATAAAAGTAAACCTAATCAAAAAATAAAAAATGATCTTAATATAAGTAAGCAGACACATAATAAAGTAAATAGTTGTTTAGCTATGCAGTATGGTAGTGAGTTATTAACAATAATTTACCCTATCAATTAATATTAAATCATATTAAATGACTTACTTGTAAATTATAGACAACTTTTTCCAGTTTGAGGAACATTATTTATATTACATAATATAAAGTTCATATAATATTTATCCGTTTTGTTTTTCAGTTCAAAACGTGGTCTAGACTTGGGATTGAGCAGAGGCTATTCGGGAACACAGGCTGCTAAACACTTGATGGGAATTGCTGCAGCTAACTTTGCTGGCGGTCCAGGACGCAGACGTCGTAGCGATATACTTCCTAAACTTCTTGCACCTTGAACTTAGTTTGTTATAAGTTATAAATCTACAAACAACTAAATTTAAATACATTCTAATAATTATTTATACATCATATATTATTTATAAATGTACACATAAATATAACTATATATATAGTATATTACATATACATACATTTATGTAGAGCCGTTATGAGTCGATGATTTAAATAAGCATATAATATGTACATCTTTTGTGAATGTTATTCCACCGCGTGTAGAATTCGAATAGATAATATTTAAATTATATAGTTCAATATATTATTATTCTCGCTTACCAATTATGTTTTTGTTCTTAAACAACTTATAATGTACACCCAGTAACTTTGAAGTGTTAATTTAATTTTTCGATGCCAAAATACAGCATTCCTGTTTAACTGTATTGATATTTGTACTATATATATATATCCATTTTAGATCTCCTATTTCTCTTAGTGTTTTTGCGATAGTAAAATAAATAACAAATAATAAAAAACTTATTTTTAAATGATTTTAATAAAATATAATATATATACAGCATAGTATTATCATAATTTTTAATAATTATAATTATTATTATTAATATTAATATTATTATTATGATAGATCTAAAAGAACACTACAAAATAAAATATAAATAATAAAACCAACATAAATTCATACACAAACAATACCTAATATTAAATGCCATCTAACTTATTAGAAATATTATTTTAAAATTTTACCATATAGTCTAATGATTTGTTAAAACACAAAACAAAAACATCACAATTAATAAAATAATACTCATAAATCGTCCAAACTTAAATAGTCAATTGAAAAATTTAAATTAAAACAATAATTATAAGAAAAAACATCAAACAATAATTATTTAAGTTATTTGAAATACTGACTAGGGATCTTTATGCTCATTTAAACTAAGTTTTTTTTCATTGATTATACACGTTAAAAATCTAAACATAGTAAAATTGGTAACAAGAATATGTTTTTATAGATTGTGCTCCTTAAAAATGAAAAAGAAAACAACATTGATGAAATTACGACATTTATGTTGTGTAATAAATAAGTAGATGAGTAAAGCTATATATATATATATATATATATATTCTTTTAAAATAAATTTATAAATCATATATAATATCTGACACCGTTCAAGACTAAAGAAAAACCTATTAGCTGTAAGTTAAGTACAAGTTGTTATAATTTAGATGCTGCTAACTCCGGGAAACATACCCTGAACTCCGCACGAAAAATGAAATATCAGTTAGAGTTAGATTTTTAAAAAAATACATACACAGGCATAAGTGTTCGTTCACAAACAATTGGCAAAACAAATTTGACGTTGTCTGAAAAAAGAATACTTAATTAAATGGGACAATATATCGAGTGTCTTTTGTGAAATACTTATTGAAACATTTAAGACCCTATTCACTCCTGACGTGTGTGTATAGTACACAGTATATGAATTTGGGACCTATGAGCCGAGCGTATGGATCATAACGAGCACGCTTTTAAAAGAAAAGGCCGAGTATCGCAACGCACAGGTGTGAATTGGGCCCAACTCCTAATTTCTTATACAATTTTAAGTCTATAATATTATAATCATACATTAATTATTATCGTACATATTGTAATTTAGTATATAGGACATTATCGGAGTGTGTTCTACAAAAATCACTCAATAAAAAATTATAGCATTGCACTGGGCAAAGAAAGAAATATAAAATAAATAAAACAAATTCCTTATATATGTTTACAAAGAAATATAATGAAAACCATTAATCGCAAAACAAACTATTCCTAATGATCCCTTTTAAAAAAAAGTGGTAACATAAAAAATGTATATTTTAATATAATAATAAGAACGACTTTACTTGTTTTAAATTAAAATAACATATTCTTGTCAATAATTTGAATTCAATCAGAATTTGCAAAAGACACAAATATTGTTATATTTAAACCATATTTAAAAATTAATTTAAGAACAAATAAATTACAACTGCAGTTTTTAGGAAAAACAAATTGATAATTTTGGGTTCACTAAGAAAAATCTATTTCTTTTAAACAATTTGAAAGTTATTAACAATAATAATTACTTAATAGTAATTAATATTTTACAAGCTCTTGAAAATGTATTAACAGATAATAAAAGCAATGTAATCAGATACCTATTGTTCAAATGGCGGTTCAATACAAATGGCACCGATGTGTAACATAAAACAATACATATTATGATGATGATGAGAAACATTCTTTACGAATACACTTAAAATATTGGCTAAACAAAAAATTGTTCTATTATTAAATAGTCGATTAAACCATTATTTGATTATGAATAAATTAAAAAAACGTTTGAGAAAACTTAGGCAGTGGTGTACGCAGAGGTCAGAATACTCAATAATGGTAATACAACATAATACGCAACAACCGTTAATATATTTTGAAATGAATACAATTTTTTTTATCGTCTAGATGTTTTAGATTTCTCATTTGTTATATTTTAACAAGTGAAGACCGAAAATTGTACATTAAAAAATAAAATATAATGAAATAGTCTGTTTAAAGTGACTATAATATACTCACACAAAGTACAGCTATCTTTACTTATACATTGTAATAGTTATTATAGATTATGGTACTATAAACTCTACCATTGTCATTAATGTTCGACTAAATATAACGGTGTATATATTCACACAGTGATGTATTATCAATAATAGTTCTGACTCTCTACGCAATGAATTCCTGCAATCGCCACTGGCTATACAAAGATGCCCTAGTGAACAACTACTAAATCATAATATTGATACAAGCAGAATTTCTCATATACAGTTTGGTCCTCCTATGTTAATATTAATTGTGTACTGAGGTTGCAAAAACAAAACATATAAACGTATCTAAACAAAATAGATAATAATATGCATACCTAAAACTCGGCAAACTCTTTGGCGCATTTTTCCGTTGAAGAGATTCTCAACGCTTCCTCCTCGTACTCATCAAAATTGCTCGTGTCCCCTGGTCCCTTGCACCTAGGTATGAACGGGGCTTCGATTTTCTTTTGGAATACAGCGATCCAATCGGTTGACGCAAACCACTTGTGTCCTTTGATATCGTTGACGCCGTTCTTTAGATTACCGAAACGTTTAGTCAGGTCCACTTGCAAAAGGTTCCTTAAAAGATCTTTAAGATCAGAACCAAAGTGTGATGGAAATCGAACTTTACCCGATACAATCTTTTCGTAAATTTGTATGGGCTGGTCGGCAAAAAACGGTGGGTATCCGGCTGCCATTTCGTATACAAGGACACCTAAAGCCCACCAGTCGACAGCTTTATTATATCCCTTGCTTAATATGATCTCGGGGGCCAAGTACTCAGGCGTACCACACAAAGTCCATGTCCGCCCTTTAACGCGTTTGGCAAAACCAAAATCAGTCACTTTCAAGTAGCCCTGAGAGTCAATCAGTAAATTCTCTGGCTTGAGATCTCTGTATATAAGATCAAGGTAATGTAAGTACTCGAACGCTAGCACTATTTGAGCCGCGTAGAAACGCGAGTGCGGCTCGCTGAAACGGCCGACCTTGCGCAGGTGAGAAAACATTTCACCACCAGGCACGTATTCGAGCACCATGTATAAATTGGAGTTGTCCTTGAAGTGGTATTTCAAACTGACGAGAAATGGAAAACTGATTGCTTGTAAAATTCTTTTTTCATTCAAAGTGTGTTCTACCTGTTTCAGTTTGACGACTTTCTGTTTATCGAGGATCTTCATCGCATAATATTCTTTGGAAGCCTTGTGTTGTACAATCATCACTCGGCCAAATGAGCCCGTGCCCAAGGTTTTAATGCGGTCGAAGTCTTCGAGAGCCGCAGTGTTGGTAGGATTTTTTTTCCATTTTTCCTCAAAGTCTTCTTTGGCCTGATCGAGGAATTCTTTGACGCTTTCGGCCGAATCACCTTTCTTGTTAGCCGTTGCGGCGTTGCCCATTGCGTTATCTTTTTTACCTTCCAGGGCTTCCAGTTGAATGTATTATCATCAACTACTGCACCGTTTAGCTGATTGCGTGTACCCCTCCGTTTTTGAACGTTCTTTCTATAGTCAAATGTCAATACAAATGTTATAAAAACAGTCTAAGTGTTAAACGAGGCTAATCAAGCCTCCTGTATGTTGTGTATCATTTACAGGCTTACCTCAGATTCGGTGGAGGCTAACTCGGCGAATCGATAGCGGTGGTATTCGCATACGCTCGGCCAATATCATAATTGTCTAATTAACGTCTACGGGCTACAACAATAATCGCTAACGGGAATTAAAATCACGAATATACATAAACAAAATGGTCAATAAAAAAATTGATAGGAAAACAATTTTGCTTTTTTTTTTTCCCCCGACCGAAATTCTCAAAATGGCCGATCCATCAGCTGTCCACGGACCGTGGAGGAAACGGCATAACTCGTCCGGGAAGAAAAACCATTTACCGCCAGTGCGTTCCTGCGACAAAATATATTTAGTCAAGCCGCTTCGTCGCACCACAGCCGCCGCCACTACCACAAACAGCAACTATACGATCAAACCAATATAACAATGGCGGAGGCGGCAAATGACCTTCTGTTGATACTTGAGAGTAAACATCGTAATATTTTACAACGTTATTAAACACAAAAACGATTATCCGTACATGATAATTAATTAGAATAATAATAACATTAATACACAGCTATGTAACCCTTTTTGAACATTGGAACTAGATGATGCAGTGCATATAATATCTGTTAACAAAAATCTATTTTCTGATTTTGTCTGTATACGCGTGAATTTAAGTATACTAGTAAAATGAAATCGGTGTCAGCAGATATCAATTATAAACTAATAAACAAAAAAGCTATTCGTGGAAAACTGCAGACATTCTTACTGAGAAATGAACGCAGTTATTATTAACCGTAGTCATTTTTTTATATTTTTGACAACGACATCACATTTTGATAATTTTCTAATGCATATAACAAGGCGAGCGTCGAATGTCGATAGTAATAAATTCACAAATGTACGAAAATAATATGATTTTGTCGCACGACACTAACAAAAGACCAGTCACAGTTTACAATAAATAGTAACTAACCGATAAAACTACAAATAATTGGTGCTGAAAACGTGTATACTATAAATAAGGCAAAACCAAAAAGATAAGGTAGGTAGGTAGGTACTATTAAACAGACTTTTACAATAGAGGCTAGAGCAGGTTTATATCGTGTTATTTCCACTAAAAACCACAACTTTATTTCAGTAAATGATTTTACACATTATGGCTAATAATACAATTTCCTTTTGACGATGTAAATAAACAACAGTAACCATACAACAAAAAATTATTGCACTAGGTAAAGAACTCTTTTTTTTTTTTTTTTTTACTGGTAAAAAATTGAAAACTGTAGAAAAAGGTAAATCTATGTCACTGAATCTAATACTTTACAAGAACAATTATTAATAAAAAATGAAAATTACTTTTTATTCAAAGTCTTTATAAACCATCAATTATTACTTAATCAGTACACTATCAAATCTATCTAATACTACAAAACCTGAAAGTGGCCAATAGGTAAATGGACAATACAACACAAATAAAAGTACAGACCATGAATTTACTATTTGCTATTCATAAGTATGTTATTAAAATACAACACTTGTTGATATTTATCTCCATAATGATTACACAGTTCAATGAGATATCATATAATGATACTATTAAACTATAATAATATACAGATATAAAATTGAGTATACTTCAAAAATTAGGAATCCATAAGAATATGCAAAATGCATTAACATAATATCTACCTTAATAGTTCAATCACCTCACGATTTTTTTCACAAATGATAACAACTTTTTTTTAATATTTCTACACAATACTTTTAATTTTCATCTTATATTTTCACTTACAGAAACAATATAGGTACAAGTAAGGTAAAATAAATGACAAAGGTCTACTCATAAATTATGGTGTGACATTCTTTCATCATACTTAGATAATCACATTTAAAACATTTAAGTACACAAATAACAGACTAGTTGTTTACTTAAAAAAATAATTTGATTAATTTTACTGAAACCTTTAATGAAGTACTCGGGAGGGCTAAAGAAAAACCAATTATGATTTGAATTTCATGGGTTGTATATTTAACCTTCGGTAAATATATATGTAAATGTATATATATATCTATGTATATATATTATTAATACTAGACACTGCAATGATTATCCTAAATATGTAAAATGTAATTACAACCATTAATTAAAAAAATTCCATTTTGAACTTATAGGTAGATTTATTAAATAGTAATATTTAAATTTAAAAGTAGAATATAATACAAAAAAAACCGTACTAATGTGACCGCGAACAGGTACTTCTAATTAATCAAACTACTTACACATTGTAGTTAAGAGAAATATGCATAGGTTTTTTTTACCATTAATAAAATTAAAAGAAACCATCCCTTTGTCTACTAACTATAAGTTTGTATAATAATAATTTTACCATATCCTATAGTAAAAATATATAAAATAAAAATTAAAAATTTACCATATAAGACGTATTAGACGTAAAAAAAAGTAACTTAAAATTAAGTTTTAATTAAATTAATTAACATAGTGCCGCGGACCTGTCAAAACTTTATAGGAAAAAGGAAACATTTTTGTAGTCCAAAATTTTAGAGACAAATTACAAATATTGAACATGGAGAATTGTTATTCATGTGTCAGAGTTCCACTTCAGAGTCAAAATGGTAGTGATCATTTTTAACAAAAGGAGGGCAGGGTCTAGAATAATTTAATGTCATGGACAAATGTTTACGCTTCAGCAGATTCTGGCTCAGCTGTAGCTGGATCTTCTTCAGTGTCATCTAATTTGGCCTTCTTTTCACTTGCTTCCTCAGCTTCGACCACCAACTCAGAGGCATTTGATTTCCTCTTGCACGCTTTCTGGCAACTGTCTACATCGTCTTCTGCAATTATCACAATAACATGAATATTAATCATAATACAGTAATAATTTACAAATAAATAACACTAACCTTTGTTGTCGCCGTTCTGTTCTTTTTCTTCTACTTCAGGGACGGATCCATTTTCTTTAACATCATCGTCTTTGTTGGATCCATTTTCTGGAGTAGAATTTTCTTTAGCAGGGGATTCTACATTCTTGACTGGGGAATCTTGGATCTTCTTTTCTTTTGCTGGAGAGTCTGCTACTTTCTTTTCTGGGGTGGTAATAGTTTCTCTAAAAATATAAAGAATAATTTAAATTTGAAAAACATATGGGGAAAACCACAAGACTGTTATTAAACATTATATGAATCCATGTACCCCCGCACTACCTATTAAGCATTATAAACGCGATCACGTATTTGGCAGGTGTTTTAAGACGCCTAAGACACCAGGTGTTTGGAATGTAAACTCTAGTGTTAAATAAAGAAAACTAGTTATAGTATAGAGTAAATAAAAAATGAACACGTTACAAATGCTAACTAAAAAAATATGAGGAAACACTAACATTTAATGGACTTAATAAATTATTAATAAAATATTATAACTTTGTTAGAAACAGTTTTCTAGCCTAACAAAAGCACAGTCTCTATAATAGATCGAAAACACCGTTTCCTAAACATTTTGAAGAGCAAGTTATGAATTATTTAAACATTAAAATAATTATTAAAAATATAGGTGTATATTATATAATATCAGAATAAATATATCGTAAATAAAAAATGAATTAAAAAAACATAAATAATCGTGAACGATAAATAAAAAGAAAATCTACCAATTAAACTTATGACCTTATGTGTAATTAGGTAATTGTGTACGATAAAAAATTTGTTTATTTTTATTAACAGAGGTCACATGACCTCGGACACTAATTGAATACAACGTTAGATATAACCACGCGAATTTACCGTTTACCTATTGCTACCAAGACACAAACGCCGCCGAACAGGACTAACGCGGGGTGACGTTTTTTCCCTCGTTAACCTCCCCAAACATAAACAATATTATTATGCTCGATTAACCATGTGATTCCCACGCTAGTCATAATATTTTTACCGCGTAAACACATTGGCGGGTACAGCTAACACATACGGTTACACGTTTAAATGTGATTTCCCATGGATCGCCAAAACATAACGAAAAACTCTACCGTGGCGTCGCAACAATAGACGGGGTTAATGCATCTTAAGGGGAAGGGAGAGTAACGGCACCGTTTGAGGCTCTTAAAATGAATTGCAAAACGGCAACCAAGTAGAAACGGCGGTGGTCATGGTCGACAGAACGCCGGTAAAACTGCGAGCAACGCGGTCCGCGGATACCCGCCATCTTGAACGCTGGCCGGCCGCTGGCGTCGGCGGCGTCCACAGAAGCGTGGTTCTGACCACAAAGCGAGCACCCGGCCGGCGCAGGGCCCTAGCGGTAACCCCACAATGCAATAGTGGCGGTACAAAATAAAAATGTATATCACTTATTAACTATACTCGTTCGTCACTTACTTTACTTCGGCTACAACGTCGGCCATTGTGTGTAGTTTATTTGTAGATGTATAAAGAAAAACTGAGAAGACGAGCAGTCGTGTCAACAGCAGCGAGTCGGTATAAATAAACCAAGTAATGCTTGCACGGCGACAAAGAGACAAGACGCGTTACGTTATGCGAATGAGCGAAGCGGCGGCAACAATGGAGGGAATGCCGGACGCCGACTGCGGCGTCGCCGACTATCGAACGCCAAAAGGACCACTATCGATTTTTGTCAAATTGGCGTCTTCGGGTTTCCGACGCGGATTCTCAAACAAAAATCACCGGAAAATACATACAATTGACCTCGACAATCATTCACAACCGTTTGTTGGAAAAAATACGTATTTTTCAGCGGTTACATGAAATGTTCGTGAAAAATCGAATGACAATCGCCATCGATTATATACGTATAATCGGCGTGGGTGAAAACCGTTAAATTGGCAAGGCGCACGCGCAGTGACCTCGATCGGTCGCCCAAGCCGACATGTCGAATCCGGACGGCGTGACCAACTTGACGGCGAAGCCGGTAAGTACCCTATACACTATCCGTGTATAGGTTGGTAACGCCTATTTAATATTTCTCGGCTCGCTTGGGGACGCGGGACGCCGCGCCGTCACGGTACAGGGAAAACAAGTAGGGAAACTCGTGTCGTGTCTCCGGTCCCGGCCTTATGTGGTACTCGGCGACTTTTGAACACAGAATAAGACTTACAATACTATAATATTTGTGCAATGTGTTAGTGCTATGTTTTGCCATAACAAAAAGGAACCCATCAACATTTTTTTTTTTGAAGAAGAAGAATCAACCATAATTTTAATTTTACGGTTTATCACTATTTTCCGCTAATTTGAAAAAAAAAACAAAACTACATTTCAGAGTTTCGCTACTAGTTTATTTAAGTTATAACTCGGTAAACAAAACGGTTTCTTCTAAATCGTGGCGCCGTTGTCGTATGCGTAATGCAGGTCGTAGTATAACAAACAAAAGTCTAAACAAACATGTAACAAAACAACGGTGATTTTCGATTCCTGTGCTCGATGCTTAGGCCACAGAATAGATTTAGTCTATTCTGTATTTAGGCTATTATATTATACAAACGTATACAACTTTATTACGCATTAGTCATTATTATATTTTTAACTCGAAATGCCATATTACAATATTAAAGAAAAGTTCTTGGCGACTAGTTTTCGATTTTTGACATATACGCCATTTTCCATAACACATTTATATGTTAACATCATGACCCTGAGGCCTTAACCAAAACAAAAAACTACATTATCTTACCCAGTCTTTGTCCCAAGCCTCACTAGTCACTACTACGACCAGAACGTAAATCTGTTTTGTAATCTGTACTCTGTACAAATGTCTATAATATGGCATGTGTTAGCTGTAATGTTTTTCCACCTTTAAATCTAAACGTATAATTTTAGAAAGTCTATGTTTGTTCAACTGTTTCCTGGTGTGATTTCTTCGCGGAGCTGATATAAATTATAAAATATGATCGCATTTTCACTGGCTGTGGTTCATTATTTTATTATCATTGTATTTTAATCCTACTAGAGATAAAAACTATAACTTTTACAAGATAAAAAGTAATAACTAACGTTGGGAATTATTTGATTGTTCGACATTCAAAAAGCATTTTATATTCAAAATGTTAAAAATTAATCACTGAAATTTTATTGCTGTCATTCTAAGTAGGTAATCTAGTTTTTGAACTAGGTATTTGATTTTCGATATAATCGAATTTAAATCACAAATCAAGTAAAAAATATTTTGTTATTTAAAGTAACACAGATTATGTGAAAATAATTCCATATTACAATCTGTGTAAGTACCAATACAAAATTTTATTTCTAAAAAATAATAATAGTACTTTCAATGGAAGAGTACATATAAGAATTATAATTATTACTGATGTGTTAACCATTATCAATCATAAAGCTATTAATATATTAGGCGTGTATCCAAACTCGAAGCTTATAAATTAAAATGTAATGACGTTATGCAAAATATTAAAAAATTATATTACATTAAAATTAAATAGTATTCACTATTCTATATTTTGTACTGCACGATTAATTTACAAATATGACGCTATCTAGAAAAAAACCTCTATTTAAAAACTATATGAAATTGCATGTTTACATTTTATTATTCGCGACCTGTGATAATAGTTAAATTAAGTAGCTACCTACCTAATTACATAATTAATACATAGCTTGTAAAGAGTTTATTTGTTAATACAGGAAACGTGCAAAAAACTAAGAATTGTTAGTTAGTTTATAGTTACATTTAGAATAAACGTATGTAGTTCAGCATTAAAAAAAATACTAATGATGCGAATAAAGTTTCTAAACCTTTAAAATAAAAAAAAAATTTTCAGCATAAAAATACAAAGGAATCCATGAAAACTAATATTTATACTTTTTTTGTTTATTTGGTGTTGGGGTATGTAGGTGATAAACTTCTAGTCTTCACAATTGTATTTTTGTTTTTTAATAAAATAAGCTGGTAAATGATCTATTGCTTCTAATTTTTGGCATGAATCCAATAATAAAAAATATTTGAACATTTGACGCAAATTTAACAAATCAAAATTAGTTTTAGTAGTACTTAATATACATCTGTATTTTTAAAATTTAAACAGAGGGAATGTGAACATAAATCTTTGCACGTCGATTCTCGTTTCTCTATTTTATAGTCGTTCTAGTCAGTTTGGCTTAATAATAAGTATATTTTGGCTCATAGTTATTGTAGTATTGTAAAACTACATAATCATTAAGCCTTAATGGTTGAGAACTGTTATTAGTCGTGTAATTACTAAATACTTAATTATCAAATTAAGACATTAGATGTGCATTTGCTTGTTGGTACAAAAATGGGAATTAGAAATTAGAATATTTATTTTTTGATGATACTTTTTAGCATCGATGTTGCCTGTTGATTTTATTTTTATGTTAACTACAAAACGTTATCGAGAATAAATTAATAATATGTACCCTATTTATTTTCTAAAGTCCGTTCGATAGACATAATTTATACACATTTACTAAAATCAAAACATTGTGATTTTGCATGATAAAAATATAAATCATAGGCTTTGATTACTGTCATTGATAACAGCGTACGTTGATATGTATGCATTATTCTGTACTTAACTCTTTCTCAGTTTCTCTTTAAATTCTAGTATTATTGTTCTGAATAATAATACAAAATACAAATTTTCAATCTTAGACCAAAGTGGATAAGATAAATTAATTTATTAAAATATCTTCACAAAATTTCAATATTTAAATTAAAATTAATTAAAAATGTTTATTAACAAAATTTCGTTATCCAGTATATTACTATTTTTCCATTATATTATTTTTTTTTCTGTGGGATTCCTAACAAGTTTCTATTTCTTTTTAATGATATCGACCCTTGGACCTCTCTCATTATTATAGTCCATTTCTTTATAGGTTAGCCTTCATTTCTGGTTACCTGTTATAAGTATATGGTTATATGTTTCTTATCGCTTATCAGTCCCGAGTGTTATCACCAATATATATATTGTAACTTATCAATCTGGTAATTGTTTAGCCATGTGGTTATTATCTATAACTACTAGTTACTACTAAGTATTGCTAATACTTAATTATATAATGTGATTATAATTTATACTCTTCTTCTATAAAAATTATAGAATTTAGAATTTAGTTTTCCATTCATAGTATCATGTCTGATGAAACGAATTCCGAAGTAGCTGTAGTTCCAACGGAAACGCCTACAACCACTGAAGAACCTATAACTTTTAAAGATTTAGTGAGTTAGCTTCTTAATTTATAACTAAATTTTGTAAATCAAAAATTGATTTAAATCATATTATTGAGTGCACAAAATAAATAAGTAATTGTTAATTTTTTTTTATCCAGGGTGTAACAGATGTATTGTGTGAAACTTGCGAGTCTTTAAAATGGAAAGAACCCACCAAAATACAAAAAGAAGCTATTCCTGTAGCGTTGCAAGGCAAAGACATCATCGGTCTTGCCGAAACAGGATCAGGAAAGACTGGTGCATTTGCTATTCCTATTTTACAAGCATTGCTCGAAAATCCTCAGCGATATTTTGCTCTCATTTTAACACCGACTAGAGAACTTGCTTTTCAAATATCTGAGCAGATAGAAGCTTTGGGTAAAAAATAGATTATATATATATATATATATATATTTTATTTTTATTTTTATATTAGTCATTAAAATGTTAAATTTTTTTAGGATCTAGTATTGGTGTTAAATGTGCAGTTATCGTAGGAGGTATGGATATGATGGCACAAGCATTGATGTTGGCGAAAAAACCTCATATCATAATTGCTACTCCTGGTCGTTTAGTAGATCATCTCGAAAACACCAAAGGATTTAGTCTACGTAGTTTAAAGATTTTGGTAAGAAGCCTAATACTTAAGAATTGATGAAACAGTTTTCATTTTTAAACTATAACTTCACCACATTTTTTTTTATAAGGTTATGGATGAAGCCGATCGCATATTGAATATGGATTTTGAAGAAGAAGTAGATAAAATACTAAAAGTTATTCCAAGAGAAAGACGTACTTTTCTGTTTTCTGCTACTATGACAAAGAAAGTACAAAAACTACATCGAGCATCTCTTGTAGATCCTGTTAGAGTTGAAGTATCGACAAAATTTCAAACTGTAGAACAGCTACATCAATATTACTTATTTATTCCGGTTAAATATAAGGTAAATAGATACCATTTTCTCGCTTAGCTTATCATAATGTTAGTTATGTTAAGGCTTTGAAAACTTTTTATTTAGTAAATAAATAAAATTAAAAAAAGAACGTTGATGAATATAACATTGCTGTCAAAATAAGCATATAAGCAAAAGTATACATTTTTTTATAAAGATTTTTTGAAATATTTAATTTTTTACCATTAGTTTGAACCATTAGTGTCTTGAATTTTTTGGTTGAAGTTATGTATATCTAGCATAAAAATGTTACAAATTCTTTGCATATTGTCTTTAAGTCCTGACTGTAATGTTGTTTGCAGGATGTATATTTAGTACACATATTAAATGAAATGGCAGGAAACTCATTTATGGTGTTTATGGCCACTTGTAATGGAACTATACGAGTGGCTTTGCTTCTTAGAAATTTAGGACTGGATGCTATACCATTGCACGGGCAAATGACGCAAAACAAGCGGCTGGCTTCCTTGAATAAGTTTAAATCAAAATCTAGATCTATACTTATATCTACCGATGTCTCTAGTAGGCAAGTATACAACAATGATAAATTTGTTTTTTTAATGATTAATAAACTTTCAATAACTTGCCATTCATTTTTTTTTTTTTTTTTAATAGGGGTTTAGATATTCCTCACGTTGATGTAGTAATTAACTTTGACATGCCAACTCACAGTAAAGACTATATTCATAGAGTTGGTCGAACAGCTCGAGCTGGAAGATCAGGAAAAGCCATAACATTTGTTACTCAGGTATACATTACTTAAAATTGTTAAAAAATTGAACAATTAAAACTAATGTGAATTTTTTTAGTATGATATAGAATTATATCAAAGAATAGAACAGCTTATTAGTAAAAAGTTACCACTCTATCAAGTGGAAGATGACGAAGTAATGTGTTTACAAGAACGAGTATCTGAAGCTCAGCGACTTGCTAAAATGGTTAGTTTAACTGTTAGATAACATTAACTTGTTGAATTGTATATAATAATTTTATATGTTTCGCCAGAATATGAAAGATATGGGTGACAAAAAAGGAAAGAGAGTACTCGACGATGATGAAGAAGGTGCTATGGGAGTCAGGAAGAAGGTTATTGGTAAACACAAAGCGAAGAAATTTAAAAAGAAATAAGACAATTATTAAATTTTACAATAAACTCCCATGTATTATATTTTATAAAAGACTTGGTTTTTTTTTCGTCTATAAAATTCACCAAAGTGTTTAATATTTAACAAAAAAAACCATTTTTGTCGATCATTGGAATGGTCAAAACGATAAAATCATTGTAGGCTTAGGCACAATAAAGAAGTGTTTTTTAAAAAATAATGACTACAACACATACTTTTGTATGTATTAGTGTATGGTGTAAAACAACGCTATCAAAAAAGTCATTTGACGTGGTTTATATTATTATGGTTTATTCTATAAAATATGTTGTCTGCAAAACGATTAATTTAAGTACTAATTGTATGTGATAATCACTCAACCTTAACATCTGAAATTAGATCCAAATTAAGAAAGATTACTAATAATGTACAACTTAGTTCAAAAACGCATCATATTAGCTTATGTGTCTTAACTGTTTTGAAAGTTGATAATGTTAACAAGTGGATTGAAATGCAAGAATGAAATTGCCGAAGAAAAATACAACCAACAATTAAATAACTGGTCCCAATTCTCTGCAATTAATAGTAAAACTAAAGTGTAATATATTAATAACACTATGTTAATAGTAATAATACGGCTGTGGTTCAATACGTTAATATATCTGTAACAACTGTGAATAGGTGTGTGAGTTGATTTCAGTTATTTTAACGGATGTACGATTTTAAACTTTGACCAGCTGCCATAAATCAAGATTTCATTTAAAACATTTGATTTTTTTATGATCCTCTTGTATTGATAAATACTTAAGAGGTACTCGAGTGGTTTCTTTCAAGTTTAAAATCGCTCCCCTGTAAAAATCACTGAAATCGACTTACCCACTTATTCACAGTTGTTACAAATATTATTCCCTCAGTTATATTAATTATGTACAGTATGTGTGCTTTTAAATTATGTAAAAAATATCATGACTATATGTGGAAAAGGATCCAATTGTCGGCAAAGCTGATATTGAGAAAAACTCCAAAATACAATAGCTTGGTAATTATTTTTTTAGCTATAAAATTTTACTTTTCAAAACACAATATAATATTATGAAGTCGACAGTCGGACGTCCGTGAGAACAGGAAATAGGCTATAGGGATCAATCAAAATCGATGTATCATGCATTTCTTCAAATTCAAAAATCAAATCTATCATGGAAGAATCAAACATTATATGTCTTATCATCTACGGTTATCATAATTCAGGTTATGACTATATAACCATGGTTTAGGTTACAGCTTATCAAAAATGTGCTCATTTACAAATACTAATAAGTGATAACTCAATTCAACACCAAGTTAACGTGTGTAACTCTGGTCTCAAGTCATGCACTAACTTAAACTCAATAGCCATGGATTCAGCCGATGCGTTGTTAAGTCAATGTGTTTTGAAGCCTGGATTCCAAAAGGGATACAAAGTCCCTGTCAATAACAAAAGCAAAACGGTTGTTAAACGTGATAAAAAGGTAAAAAAAATTAAGTTGTAAAATTGTTTTATGTATACAAAAATTTGTTTTTTAATATTTAAATATTGACGCCAATTGTAAATTAAATTATTTTATATAGCTGTACTAAAGGGCAACATTGTAGTTAATTCCAAAATTGTAATTTTAAAGAAAAATACCCAATTTTACAAACAATAAATACTTTTTATTTACGAATACAATTGTAACTATATGTAGGTATTTGTAACTCCATATCTAAAAACATAAGTAAAAAATGTATAACTTTAAATAAAAACTTTTAATAAAACTGTTAAATTATTGGTTTAATAATAGAAACTCATTATAAATTAAAGCTAATTTAATTATATGATGTAAAAAAAACCTATAAAAATAATAATAATATTTGGAAGGCTAAACATTACTAAGTTGCACCAGTAAGCATTTATTTCATCTGTGAAAATTACAAAATACAAAACAAATTTATTCATTTTAAAATTTTCCAGGTAACATTTATTTTGGGTATTTTATTGTATTATAATATGGCTGTATATACAAACTTAAAAAAATGTAATGTTACTTTTATTTTGATAGAGACAAGAAGCTAAAACTAAAGGTCCAAATTGGTTCAACTTACCAGCGACCAAAATTACAGATAGCGTTCGTCATGATCTTGATTTAATTCGAATGAGATCAGCATTAGACACGAAACGGTTTTACAAAAAAAATGAAACTGAAGCATATCCAAAGTATTTTCAAGTAAGTTATATTACAACAATATATTACATTTAAGTTGATTAGTTAAAAACTTTCATGGATTCAATTATTATATTTTTCTACGTATTATAAGAGTATAGTCGCAAGTCAATCGTTGACTATTGCTCTGATGATGCACTCTGTACTAGGTTTGAAAAATTACAAACATCAGAATAATTAATACAATTACATAGTATATAATTTTTTGTAAATTTTATTTGTTTAATTTAAATAAATTTATATTTTTGTTTTGTAGATTGGTACAGTTATTGATTCTCCGTTTGAATGCAAATCTGGCCGATTGACTAATAAACAAAGGAAGAAAACAATGGTGGATGAACTCTTAGCCGATGCTGAATTTAAACAAACAACAAAGAAAAGATACAAAGGTATTCTCATGGCTAATCCAAAACTAGCACTAAAAGTTCGAAAAGAAAATAGAAAAATGAAGAAATTAAAGAAGAAAAGAAAATAATTATTTTCGTTATAATTGTTTTTAAATTACCTACAATTCATTTTGGGTTTATTGTTGTGAACTATCATTTAACATTATGTCTGATAAGTGACTAAATGTGATAAAAAAATTATATAATTAAATACAGAATTTTTTTTTTTTTGATTGAAGATGTGAAATTATTTCCTAAAACGATAATTAAATTTTACACAAATTTTTTACCAACCAACACTAGTTAAATCTAACAGTATAGCTTGAAAATTAAGTCCTGCATGAGGAATAAAAAAAAATCAATGTTATTAAAATTTTTATTTTTTGTTTAGGAGTATGACTAATCGTAAAATTATAATACAACACAAATTGAAATATTATACGCCTATGAAAAAATTGTATTACTATTTCTATTTTCTACATGCAGTATTCAACATTACAACCAAAATTTATATTGTTGCTAAACAAATCAATATTTTTGTCATTTGTACTAAACGGGTAGAAAATAATGCAATTATTTTTAAGTTATGAGTTATGATTATAGGTAATATTAGAGTAATTCAAACAAAACTAAAAAAGAAACATCTACGTTATCTGATATTTATTTTTGTTATACATTTATTCATACTCTAGTCAGCTGTCAGTATAATCATTACTCTTCAAAACCAAACTCTTTAAATTCAAAACTATCATTTTTTTTCCTATGAAGTTAAGGATAGAAAACATATCCATAATCTAATGTATTTCCCAGAAAGTGAGAAAAAGAAATGTTCACTAAATATTATCTATCTTTTGCCCCTTTGTAAGCATAACCACATGTAAATTCAAAAAACGTGAGGTTCTTAGAAACAACTATTCAGCAGTGTAGCTGAATTGCCTATATCCAATGCCGTTTCAGAAAAAAAGAGTTGTAGGATTCACAGATTTTTAGAAATAATTATTATTACTGAAAGTAAATTTATCAACTTTCAAAAAACCGCATCGATGCAAATCTATAGATGACTAGTAATCCGTGTTCGCTGATTCGCTCGTAAAACATAATATAATTAACCTATATAGTCTGTAAGTTTTATTGTTGTAAAAAAATCATATTGCATAAATATTTAAATTCTAATTGAATTAGATCTAATGAATATCCCACACAAGTTCGGGACTAACTAGACTTTTCTTGTGCCGTAATTTTAAGTTGATAAATGTGTAAATTTATTTAGTGTTTTTCCTAATTCTTAACTTGTTAAATAATAATAATTTATTGACCATCAGAGAATTACATTTTAAAAACATGTTTACTTTAACTTTACTATAAACCTAAATTAACAAAATGGCCCAATTCACCACTGAGAAAAACCTCTTTTCCGTGAAATTGGAGTACTATTGAAGACATATACGGATGAGTAAAAATAAAAAGATAATATTAATATTTGGTTAAATACCTTTTATGTACGATTTCTGATCTATACGCTTGTTGTATGAAAAAAATCGGTTTAGCGGTTTAAGAATTAAGATTTTACAATGATCATCAAAATATCATTTTTACAATGATATAGTTATCATTGTAAAAACAATATTTTCTCAACTCCTCCAATCGAATCTAAATATTACTAATAAACATAAATATTTATTTATTTGTTGCGATTTATGATCTTTATTTAACAACATCAAAGTGTAAACAAGTAGGCGGTTTGTATGTTTTTGTTATGTTTTTGGTTTCCATACATATACCGAGTTCAAAACAAATGAAATATTTATGCAGTGCTATCAACTGTAGATATAATTTAAGTTATAATACAGTTCACAGTGACATTTTATAAACTGTAGTATTTACATTATACTAAAATGTGTGTACGACCTCATATGCATTATCTTACTTAACGATTTGTTTTCGGTGATTATAAAATACAGTAAATAATATAGTAAGGCAATTAAATTTACTATTTCACACTTTATTTGTCAAATAGTTATTTTATTAAAAATACAAGTGAATAGCCTCAACTTCAGGTGTATAATAAAAGCTAATATTTTTATAAATTATTAAATATATTCTGTTTATTGAAATGGCAAAAACTTTCATTGTATTGACAAAATGGCACAAAGAATACGCTTTAATGTCAAATGTTTGAGAAACAAGCTTTTAGTATAAATTATTGTTTTCATTGTGTACTTTTTATTACCTAGTTAATACATAGATGATAAATATATAGCAATGTTAACCATTGTCTACAAACGTTTATTGTATGAAAACATGTTATTAACATTTAACGGTGTGTCAGACCATAGATTAAACATGCATAGGTATCTGTTTTATAGTCAATCTAACTACTAACCACATACATTTACTATATTTTTTATATCAACCGGTTTGCCAAAAAAGTAAACCGGGACAGACTATTGGTGCAGGTTTATCTAAGGCTAGGCTCCAATTAATTTTATTCAGTAGTTTTTTTTATACTAATGCAACTACAATTTTATTAATTTGTTTAATTTTAATAAATTGTTGTCGAGTATCAAACTAAAGGTTGACGCATAGATTAAATAAACATTTATGTATATTTAATCTATGGTTGACGTTTACTTATAATTAGTAATTTATGTTCGACTAACTGACATTCTGCGTGTGAGGTAAAATGGTTTATTTGTTATGATGTAAACGGATTCACTATTTATAAATACAACAAAAATATCTCCAGAGTTATTAATCTATAAGAGTACCTGCTGTATTATATCTCAATATAACATCTGATCGATGATTAAAGCGTTGGTTTCTGGTACGGATAACGGAAACAGCTCACCAAGGAAACTTACTATTCGGTGGGCGGAACGGATGTTTATGGCAATCCAATGGGACTCTTTTTATTTTGCCACCCTGTGTTTTGCACCCCCAAGTCCATCCCTTGATTTAACGCATTCGCGTTTCTCGCTTCAGCTCGTTGTTTTTTGTTACATTATTAAAACATTACTGACATGTTATTCGTGAGTTATGTAAAACGTTAAAACAAATAAAAAACCGCAAATGATTTACTTATAGTATTACTACTAATAAGTTAATTTATATAAGTATACTATATAGTATTTTTATAAAACGATGCAGCCTGCTAAACGTCACTGGCCTACCAAAAATATAAACTGATAAGCTGATGTTTTCTAATAAATTCTATTGGTTATTTTGTCAACTGTTTTGTTCTCATTGGACATTTCGACCTTTCTACTTTCTGCTTAAATCGTACCGCTATTATTCAATAACAAATAGTTAACAATAGCGTTATCCTGACATAACTGAAATAGGCAACAAAACATGCAGTTTAACATTTGAATATATTTTTTATGTTTAGCTGTGCGCTAATTAAAGCATCCATATATTACAAACATGTATGTATATAAAAAGGCAATAACTTTTTGCACTTGTTTAATAGTTATCTTAGTCTATTTAGAAACAAAACATAAATATTATTTCCTGAATAACAAAAAACAAAATAACACAATTTTTTATTAACAGAAAATAATTGTTAAAACTGTTTATAATATAAAGGATAAATACCAAAACGCTATAACTTACGCAATATGAAAATGTAAGTACTATTCGATTATATTAGGTACTCTTGTAATATTATTTAGGCGATTTATAAAAGTACAATCAATTTTCTATTGGAAGACTTGGCTACTTAGAACGGGTATTACTTGTTCCATAATGGATTTAGAGTAACATGAAGGAGTTTAAATCGAAGGAATATAACATACCTCCATATCGGAAGGAATTTTGTATCAGTTTTTAAAAATAATTCTTACAACAAAAGTTATTAATGTTGTTTTTCAATATATGTTAAGCGAATAAATGAATATAATATTGAAAAAAAGTATAACACTCCCTACAAAATGTTATCATGTTTCGATTTTAAAATTTCTATGTTTGTCCAAAAAACCTTCATGGACCGAGTAAAACGAAATCTGAAAAGCTATGTTTTGGTAAAAAATAATGAAAAACGTAGTCAACGGACGCTGAGATGGACCGACAAAAAAATTAACTAGCAATAAACAATCTTAATTATTGTACAAATAAATATACACAATAAATTCAGATTTAATTACAATATTTTCGAAAACTCTCCTATTTCGAAGTCCTTAATAAGTAAGTTGTATAACGTCTTCTTAAACGGTCTCCCTTGGGTCTTGTTTATTACATTATTCAGTGTAGGTATACGGTATTGTTTATGGTAGTTTTTTATAGCACAACCATTAATTACCGAAGACCCGGAATGTCCCTGTATATTATTTATTTAATTATGCACTTTAAAGGGATAAAAAAATACAATAATAATGCAAACACTAGGCTGTAATAAATTTACAACAAAATGCTAGGATTAAAATGGGTGAAAGTAAATCCCGGATGCGCGCAATCTCTACAAAATATAAATGGTATATTTCCCCAGGGACGAATCCGGCCGTTGGTTACACGCACTACGGCGGTCCTGTTCGTATATTAATGGAGTGTTTAAAAATTAGGCCTCAGTTGTTGGGGTTTCGTGGGTGTTAACATAGCCCATTAGTCATATAGACCGTGCAAGTGCACCCTTTTTGAGTTACACGCAGTAGCCCCGAGCAAATGGGGTGGATGACTTCATAATAGAATTATGACCCTCGGGGCGCAATAAAGATATGGTGGCTGTAAAAAAACCGTACAGCTTTTAAATTGCAAAAATCAACCGCAGGAACGTGATTAATTTACGGGAGCAAATAAAATAAACAAATACTATTAAAGGCAGGCATTTTATGGGTACTCAATATGAAAGTATCGCCGCATGTTGACGGTAAAGTAAGTTTCATAAGATGTAACTGTAAGTTGCTGCTGTTAAAAGCTATAACCAGTATGCCGCCATTATCGATTTTGCCTAAGCTGTACACTAATCATCTTTACTCGTCTCGTTAAAGAAATATATATTATATCAACCCAAGGTAATACTATAATCGCATTTTGTGTGCCAGTAGGACATTATCATTTGTGCAACTAACCTGAAAATCAACGTCTAAGTCTAGTACTGTCACTTGTCATGGTTGTATCGAATTTTTAAAAAAAGGTGTAAAAACGACCTTACAATATATCATATTATACTCTTAGAAGTCCTACAACGTTCTTCGTAGGTATACACCGTAATATATTACACTGTCTACTTAAAATC